CTTAATTGGAGAGAAACTCATGCGATTTAGAAAGACTAGTGCCTCAACACAAAATATTCAATAGGTCTCTTAAGATATACAATTGACGGATCCTCGATAGTTTCAGGATTGATGAAATATGATGCAAACAAATCCATTATACATAAGTTATTCTCCTCTTTCTGTGCCCTGATTATGCGTTGTGTTCGAGAATTGTGAAAGAAGCTCAACTTATTAGTATAGAAATGAAGACAAAAAAGGAAATGAAGGAAATATTTGTGAAAACAAGTTCATTTGAGCAACATCTATGCATGCAATTAACAATTAAAAGGCAGAATCATGCTTGTATACACTCAAAAATAAAACATTACCAATGAAATTCAAGGCCTAGTAATTGTGGTGAACCAAGACACAACTCAACTCTTAAAGAAAAGAGTTGAGAAACTTTTATACCTTCGAAGCACCTCTTTGCTTAGCAAAGGACATTCACCCATGTGAGGACCTTCTTCCTTAGTCTCCTTGCTCCTTGGCTCCATGGATGTGGATGGTGGAACTTTGCTTCTTGGCTCCATGACATCTTGGATGGATGAAGGATTCGGATTCTCCAAGTTCCCAAAATAGAGAACCTCTAAGTATCCACACCAAGGAGAGCATTGATGAAGAGATGAGTGACCTAGAGGAAGGAAGATTGCTAGCTATGTTCCTTTAGGGTGGCCGGCCTTCATTAGAGAAGAGAGGGCGTTGTGTTCTCTTCTCTTCCCTTAGAAAACCTTAAGAATGAAATGGCTATAAAGTTGCCTTTATACCACCTCACAATGGAGTGGCAAACTAGCCATAGATAATTAAACCATTTAATTATCCTTACTCATCTTTGTTATTTCTTCAATCTCTACCTTACTCGGTGTACAATCCATTAGGTTCCTTTTAGCGAGGCAGTGGGCGATTAGAATTCTTCAAATTGTTTGTGAATTGAAATATACTTTCAATTCTCCCTTTAGCGATTATACACCTTTAAGGCTTCCACAAGCCATGATTGACACCTAGCACTATATCATGGTTACCTAAGCTAATCAGAAGAGGTGGAGAACCTATTCAGTTTAGGATTAGAATGCAACACAGTCATTCTCTAATACAATACTCTTGACCACATTATTTGGTTTGATAGTTTATTCATGTCTACTATCCAATGTGATTCTTTTACTTATATGATTACCTTGAATGTGATTTGGAATGACCTCTTAAATCTCATTCATACTCTGTCCAGAGATTCTTACTCATATCATAGAGTATTCTCCCTCAAACAGTTTGAAGGTTAGAGATCCCTTGTTGTGCATTCACTTGCCTCCATGTCTAAGTGGCTTAACCCCAACTATGTCATGGACACCTTTTGATGGAGTGACTTTGACATAGTCAAAGATCAAGGACATAACCACATGACAACTATGATGCCTCAGGTCAAATGACTACTTTGCATTATCCTAACCATGAGTTCTCATGTGACATGAGTATGAGAACTCCTTGTTGATTGTGTTTAATGAATTCATTCTCTATTGAGCACCTACATGCTTGTCTTAATGTCGGTCACACCAATGACTTGAGACCAGTCACTCTCTTTAAGAGAAGACATAGCACATACTGATCTTAATGGACTGTCAATGCCTAATTAGCAATCCTATGATCAGGAACGTTTATGATATGCATATGAAAGAGAATGGTCTCATGAATCTAATTTGTTTAGATCACATTCTCCCGATTACATTTTCCTTGGACTTATCTTTTAAGCATATAACATTTATATGATACGGCTTTAAACAATAATCTTTGCTTTTGTATTAAACTAGATTAGTTTAACATGTTGAATATCCGTAAAGTATCATCATATGATTTGCTTTAAGGCACATTTCCAACATAAAATGTATGCAGTACAACTACGGAGATTTACAAATTCAGAGAGATCAAAAAAGAGCAAGAGAGGATAAAATTTTCTGTTCTTTCATTAACTAATTAACAATGATGTACAAAGATTATATTTACATGAGCTACATTTCGTACATACTAAGCACTCATGTAATAACAAACTTAAGAATTCATTGTCTAATATCTTGACAATTGGCAGCACCTGAAGCATTTTGAACATGAGTTGAATCATGATCTTTTATACCTTTACATCCCTTCCTCAAGCTCATACTTACTATAACCAAGCATGAGATTGGAGCAATGTTGCACAAATAAAGAAGTGGACAGGCCTTTCAGTTAATATATTAGCAAAAACATGTTGCACATTTTAATCTCCTCAAGTTACTATTTTTCTCACAAAATGATAATCTATCTCAATATGTTTTACCCTTGAATGAAACATAGGATCAGAAGACAATGTAATATATAGTTGAGATATTGTCACAGGAAATCATAGGAAGAGTAAATAAAAGAACTTGGATATCGCACAATAACTGCCAAATCTAGGCCAATTTTGTTGCTGCCATGGCAAAAGCCCTTTACTCTACCTCAGTAGAAGATCTAGACACAACATGTTGTTTCTTTATACCCAATAGATAGGACTAGAACCACAATATACTATATAACCAGAAATGGACTTATGTTATTATGATCTTCTACCCAGTCAGCATCACTGTTTACTTGAAGATGTAATTTACCAGGTTGAAAATGAATGCCAAAATCAATGGTGCCACTAAGATAACCTAGAATCCTCTTGACTGGCACAACATGAGATTTCATAGGGTGATGCATAAATTGGTAGCAATGATTGACTACAAATGCAATGTTTAGCCTATTGAAGGTCAAGTATTGAAAGGCACTAACAATGCTCCTAAATTGCTTTAAAATTGTTAAGTTGATATTATACTATATATTTTACCCCCATATTCTTAGTATTAATTTATTGGTAATTTAGGTGAAATTTTTATACTTTGGTTTATATTTCTAATGTAGGACTTTCGACTTCCTCTTCAGTAAAAAGTGATCAAACAGACAAATTTTAGGGTGATTCAAATTGGAGGATGTTCATGAGTCTTTCAACTTGTTTGTGTTAAAGTTTTAGATTTTTCTACTAAGCGATTTATTAGCGAAGTAATAAATAACCAGCGTGCTGTCCTGGCATATTGAGTTGCATAGCTTATTTGTGAGATTTGCATGAAGGATGATGGTTTTTGGGTTCGAGTCATTCTGCAGAGATGTTTAGAGCGTCCTGAGATGTAGACTTGACATTCATGTCATGTTTTTTGTTTTCGTATCATTTTTGTGTCATACTCGATATCATAACGAGTCATGTTGTGTAACACCCGTTAAAATGAACAAGCAATATGACTCGACCCGAACTCGACCCATTAATATTAACGGGTAATATAACCTAACCCGTTAAAGAAAATATATTTTAAACCAATAAATAAGCAAATAAAAAACATAATACTAAATTAGTATATACGTATCACATTGTCATATAAATATTCCTTCAAAACATAAAAACACATTTGCCTTTCAAGTATCACATAAATATTCCAACTTACTCCGAAATGCAGGGTTTCTGGATAACTATCCATCCTCAAGGGGAACAAGTTCCTTTTAGATACATAGTTAGGGGCAATTCTATCCTTAAAAAGTCGCTCTCCCGACTAGTATAAATATATCTTTCTAGGGTTCATCTCTGGTAACACAATCATCGCACTCTAACTTTCTTGCCCACTGCTTGAGTCTTACTAACTTGACCGTTGGAGAGCCTTTGGCCGACACACACCCCCTCCCTCTTCTTTTGCTTACTCATAGTTGTTTGTTCTTTTACAGGTTACTCCAATTTATGTATCTCCACTACCTTCAGTGGTGCGCGAATTTGGTTTAAACAGATCATAAGTTTCACAGTCATAGAGGTTGAAACACTTGGGGATTAAATTCATAATAGGAGACTGAACAATCTATAATTGTGTTGCAGTCACCATTCTTTCTTGATTCTTGGAATTAATAATTGAATTATAGATGAGATATCAAAGAAATTGAGAGTTAGGGTTTCAAGGAACACTTTCTTGAACAATTATAGGGAAGAATCAGACTTAAAGAAAGATATTTGCCAGTGAAATTAACAAGAAAGAAGAGAATTTCAGGCACACATTTTATCAAATAGATGATGGAAACAACTCAAGATTCAATATATTGTAATTCCTGAAGAAGAAAAAAACCAATTTCACAGAAGAAGAGATAGCTGAATTAAGAAATTATACCATGAATCAGTAGAAGAGAACAGGAAAGCAACAAAAAATCAGGATTAAAGACATACACCGATTGCCGGTGAAGATACCATATAGAAATGAAGAAGAATAAGGAGGAAATTGTTGCAATTTGGTTTAAGTTTTCTTTTATATTTCATAAGTATTGAATGTACAAGGATACACATATATATAAGAAAGAAGGACTAGTTACAACCAACTATCCTTAGACTTAACCTTAGAGACTGACCATACTCCCTAATTGAAGGAGATTAAACCAAATACTAGTGACCAGCCATACTCCTTAATTGGATGAAATCAATCACAAGTAAGGAGTTATTTACACTTTTTTGTCAAGGAAAACACAGTAGCCCATGCTGCAATTAGGCAGCCAAAGTTGACAAAGAAATGCCATGATTTCCGGATTACATAATCTACATAATCTGTCTAGGGTTAGTTAGTAACTCTCAATACTCCCCCTCAAGCTGGATCGAGTAGTATAGTCGAGCCAAGCTTGCCTAGAAGACGCTGAAAATGTGCAGATGATAGAGCCTTAGTGAACACATCTGCCAAGTGATCATAACTACGAGTGAAAATTGTTTGACTGAGTTATGACTGAACTTGAGCCCGTATGAAGTGACAATCAACTTCAATATGCTTGGTCATTTCATGAAAAACTGGATTTGTAGCGATGTGCATAGCTATTTGATTATCACACATGAGAGACATGAGAGTGGTACTCGAGAACCCTTGGTCAAACAAGAGACCTTTGAGCCAAATCAATTCATATGCAGTAGTAACCATGGCTCAGTACTTAGCTTTAGCACTCGAGCGGGCAATAACTTGTTGCTTTTTACTCTTCCAAGTAAGAATGTTGCCTCGAACAAGTGTGCAATAACTAGTGGTGGATTTTGTATCAATTGCATTGCCTGCCCAGTCAGCAACAGTGTATGCATGAATCTCAGTGGAATGATTGTTATGCAGAAGAATACCCCGATTGATGGACTCTTTGAGATAGCGAAGGATCCTTTTAACAATACTGAGACGTTCAACTGTGGGTGCTTGTATGAATTGACTGACCAAGCTGACAGCAAAAGTAATGTCTGGACGAGTGATGGTAAGATAGATTAGCTTACCAACCAATCTTTTATAATATGTGACATTTTTTAGTACTTCACCATCTATGGTAAGCTTGAGTTTGCTGTTGATTAAGGTGGCAACTGGCTTGCAATTAGTAAATTCAGCTTCCTCGAGTAGATCCATGACACATTTGCGTTGGTTTAGAAACAAACCTTGTCATGAGGTTGCCATCCCAATGCCAAGAAAATACTTCAACTTCCCAAGATCCTTGATGGCAAATGTTTGATGTAGGGAGGCTTTTAGGGCTTCAATTTTAGAGGCATTTTCACCTATGATGATAAGATCATCTACATAAATAAGAACCACCAACTTCCCACTAATTCCATTGTGCACAAACAAGGAAGAATCAAGATTGCTTCTAAGAAAACCTTCCCTTTCCAATGCTGAGGTTAGCTTAGCATACCAAGTTCTTGGTGATTGCTTCAAACCATAGATGACATTGTGAAGTTTGCACACCATGCCATCTTTTACTAGAGAGTAACCTTGGGGAATTTGCATGTATACTTCCTCCTGAAGCTTTCCATGAAGGAAAACATTTTTAACATCCATTTGATATAACGACCAACCATAGTTGATAGCAATAGAAAGTAACACACGTACTATGTTCATTTTTGCTATTGGAGCAAAGGTTTCCTTGTAGTCAACCCCAAAGGTTTGGGTGAAACCACGAGTAACAAGCCTGTATTTGTGTTTCTCTATTGAGCCATCAGACTTGAGTTTAGTTTTGTAGACCCAACAACTCCCGACTGCCTTCTTTCTTGGAGGTAATTAAATGATACTCCAAGTACAATTCTCCTCCAAGGCTTGAAGTTCTTCAGACATGGCTTTCCTTCAATAAGGGATGAGATTGGCTTCGTGAAAGGTATTAGGCTCTACAAGAGTTAAAACTTCAGTAAGAAAGGCAGTATGTGAGTCTGAGAAATTGTAATTACTTATTGCTTCAGAGATGGGATATCTAGAAGTATAAGTAACATAGTTTACAAACTTGGCAGGGGTTTTTCTTTCTCGAGGTGGATTGCTTCTAACTTCTTGAGTAGGTTGATGAGTGAAGGATTGAGATGTAGCCTCAAGATCATCATTTTCTTGTGAGTTGGATTGAGATGTAGCCTTACGACTGCTACTACCCTTTAAGGAATCATCATGAATCAAAGGCTCAATGTATATAGGCAATGGAAACAAATCACACAAAAGTTCCCCCTCACATAAGTAGGATCCTTTTTAAAGAATGGAGTTTCTTCCTCAAAGCGAACATCTCTGGATACAACACACTTGTTAGTGATAGGATTAAAACATTTATATCCCTTTTGAGTGGAAGAGTATCCTATGAACACACATTTCACAGCACTAGCATCCAATTTGTCACGATGTTGAGTTTACACATGTACAAAACAAGTGCAACCGAAGACTTTCAAGTTTGACAGATTTATTGGTCTGTCTTTAAGGGTTTCATATGGTGATTTGAATCCTAGAACTCGACTGGGAAGCTTATTGATCAAATAGGTGGCTGTAAGAATTACATATGACAAAAACATTTTGGGTACATTCATATGCAACATGAGTGCCCGAGTCTTCTCAAATAGATCTCTATTCTTCCTCTCAGCTATCCCATTTTGTTGTGGGGTTCCCACACAACTTGTTTGCTGAATTATTCCTTGTGAACTCATATATTGAGTTATGATATTGGACAAGAACTCAGTGCCATTGTTTGATCTCAAGATTTTAATGGTTGAGTGAAATTGTGTTACCACCAATTTATGAAAGTCTTTAAAAATAGTTGAAACCTCACTTTTAGATTTCATGAGAGAAAGAAAAGTAATTCACGTGTGATCAGCCAAAAATATGACAAAATACTTGTAACCCTCTATTAATTCAAAAGTTGAACCCCATACATCAGTGTGTACCATTTCAAATGGTGTACTCGACTTAGACATTGAAGAACCAAAAGGAAGTCTAGCAAATTTTGAAAAATGACAGGTATCACACTTAAAGGATGGGTGACAAAACATGGGAAATAGTTTTGACAAAACAACTTCGGATGGATGAGCTAGTCTTTGATGCCAAAGTTGTTGATCTTGAGTTTTACTTGAGTTTGCTTGAAGAGCTTTAGGTAGATGAGAATTCTTGCAAAAATAATACAGGACATTTAGAAAAAAAACCTTCACCAATCATCTTCTTGGTGATACAATCCTGAAATATCACATTAGTTGGTGAGAACATGGCAATGCATTTTAGAGTGGAAGTGAGTTGCCATATGGAAAGTAATTTGAAAGGAAAGGATGAAACATATATAGCACTAGACTCGATGTTTTTTGACATCAAATTTATTTTTCCTCTACCCATCACCGAGACACTTTTTCCATTTGCAACTGACACCTGAGAAGGTTTTGAAAAAGAATGAAAATCATGCAGATCTGAGACTTTATTGGTCATGTAATCAGTGGCACCCGAGTCAATTATCTAGCAATCAAGTTCAATACTAATCTGAAGTGCAGTGGAGAAGGAGTTTAAGATACTTGCAGCTTTATCAGGATGGACATGATCGTGGTCAGCAAGGAACCTAGCAAACTGGCTAAGAAGTGCAGTGTGATTGTCACTCTCGACCTTAGGAGTTGGTACAACCTTTCCATGTCCTTTGCTTTGAAGATACGCTGCAAATTCATTGATATGAGATAAGGGGTTTTCAGTGAAGCCTACTGAACCATGGTTGAGCGAGCTCGAGGCATGCTTTGCAATATGTTATGCTTTGTAGGGGGTTGTTTGTAATGCTCAAGGAGTGAATGGCCTAACATTCTTTTTGAACTTAGGTTTTAGCTCTGGATGTAGTTCCTAACACTTTTCTTCCACATGTCCTGTAACATTGCAGTATTTGCAATTTAGGTGTGGATTCCTTCCCTTGTATACCTTGTTGTCAGTTTGCATGTAGTTTGCAGCATACCATCAAGTCTCAAGCAGTTTGTGCCTTGGCACTTGGTTCATCACCCTTCTTCTTGCTTCTTCACATTGCACAGTAGTACAAACATTTTGAAATGATGGCAGCTCCATGTTCATTAGAATGTGGCTTTTGAGATCTTCATAGTCGGAGCTTAAGCTTCCTAGCAACTGATATATCTTATCTTCCTCAACACGTTTGAGAAGAATAGAGGGATTAGTGGTATGAGAAGGATATACATCCAGCTCATTCCACATGGTTTTTAGGCTCTCAAGGTGTTGAACAAAGGTTCTTCTTTCTTGTTGAATACCTGCAATATCCTTCTTTAGCTAGAACACACGAGCATAATTATTCTAGTTCCCATGCATGTCTTTCACAGACTTCCATAAGTCTTGTGAGGATTCTGAGTAGCTAAAGATCTCAGCTACATGTTTCTCCATGTTGTTGAGTAACAGGGACATGACCAGTTTCTTTGCATAACCATGCCTCATATGCTTGGGTAGAAGGCTCAGGTACTTTAGCTCCTCCATTAATGAACCCTAGCTTTCCTCTTCCACCGAGAGCAAGAGACATTGTTCTAGACCATGGGAGATAGTTGAATTCATTTAACAAAATGGAGCATAAACGATGATTCGTATTTATCTCAGTATCTGAAACAAAAGAGGGAGAACTTTGCGAGTTTTCTTCTCCAAGGTTTACTGAGCTTTCTTCAGCCATAACTCGAGCTTGAAGATGAACAACAACGGAAAAAAATGGGCAGAGATAGGTCAAGGATGACATTGCTCTGATACCATGTTGCAATTTGGCTTAATACAACCAACTATCCTTAGAGACTTAACCCTAGAGACTGGCCATACTCCCTAATTGAAGAAGATTACACCAAATACTAGTGACCGGTCATACTCCTTAATTGGAGGAAACCAACCACAAGTAAGGAGTGATTTACACTTTTCTGTCAAGGAAAACACAGCAGCCCATGGTGCAACTAGGCAGCCAAAGTTGACAAAGAAAGGCCATGATTTCCGGATTACATAATCTACATAATCTGTCTAGGGTTGGTTAGTAACTCTTGATAGAAATGTATGCAGTGTAGCTATGGTGATTTAGAGAAACAAAGAGATCGAAGAAGAGCAAGAGAGAATAAGGTTTTCTGTTCTTTCATTAACTGATTAACAATGCGGTACAAAGGTCCTTTGTACAAGCTACATTTCTTACGGACTAAGCAATCATATAATTACAAACTTAACAACCCATTATCTAATCTCTTAACAACTGGCAGCAACTGAAGCATCTTGAACTTGGGCGGGATCTTTATACCTTTGCAATTAGCTGTTGAATGGCAGATGAACTTTTTGCATGGGAGTATCTGTGTGTGGGGCTCATAAGTGGGTGACTCTCACTCTTAAAACATGGTAATTGTTCAGTGACATCTTAATTGAATACTATAATAATAAATAGAGAGAAATTTATACATAATATTATATTATTAGTTCAAAATATTACAGTGCATTTACAAGTCATTAAAAATTCATTCGATGTGAGTGCATCATCGTAAGATTATATTGTTGATGCATAATAGGATTAACATATAATTTAGTTAATTATGCGACGTGATAGTATTCCAATCCCATACAATACACTTTTCTATGTCATTGTACTTGTCGTTTTGTGAAATGAAATCAATGAATACATGATAGGAAATGGGAAGCCCAATTTTTCCCTTTCACTTTCTGTCACTCTAATCTTGCTTTTCTTTCCTATCTGATATGAAAGAGTGGTGGTAGTAGTAGTACTGTGGTACTCATCTCTTTTATTCTACTTTCGAAACTGATCATCGTATTTCAAAAGTCATGATAATTTATACCAGTAACAAGTTATAGAAGCACAAAAACAATAATCAACAAGAATTTAACGAGGTTCACTCTAAATTATTAGATTATCGACAGGGCGACAATGTGGGTGATCCACAATGGTAAAAAGAAATAAGTACAACAAAGAGGAGAGATAGCTTATTCTAACACTTGCGGTGCTTTTAAAATAAGCACCTTATTTTATAATTTTTCTGTTTGATTTCAATTGACCAGTGACACTATTAAAACTATGCATTCAAGAGAAAATTTCTCCTTTGATGTGATTGACCGGCTCACTTAAGTTATGTCACGTTGATGATCTCTTGAAACAAAAACGGTATTTT